AAGTTTTTTTATAACCATGTTATAGTAAATAAATAAAGTTAAAATAAATAATTATATTATTTGACTATGTATGCATTCCACGTAGTAATAATAATAATAATATCTAAGTTGCGTTTATGATGCGGAGAGGATCCGAATCCTCTTAAGAAAAACACAGGAACTAATGGACTAATATGACTGATTTACGACGTTAGAAGCTTTATATTGGCCCAAGGAACAATGAATAAAGACATGCAAACACCTTCAATCATTAAAGTTCAATGTATAACAAACTAAACTGAAAAATGTCCTGAAAAGACAAGACTAGTGAAAGGGGGCCTAATTTTATCCTTTTCTTCTCTTCTCCCCCCTTAATACGCAAAAATGTCTCCTTTTTCGTCTACCAATTGCATAATCATGAATGAGGCCAAGTCCAACTGTTCATACCTTTTAATTTAATATCATTTTTCTTTCTTTTTTTTTTGGCAAAATAACCATTTTCTCTTTAAAATATTGAGGAACTTTTAAATTACCTCCTAAAGTATTAATTTGTCCAATTTTCCATTTAAACTATACATATGTGTTCAGTTTGTGAGCATACAATTAAATATTTAAAAAATTAATACATGACAACGTTTTTTGCATTTATTGTATTTTTTTCAATCTAAAAAATACTTTTTTAATTCATAAAAATGGTTAAAGAGTAAAAAGATTCGAGAGAAAGTGGTTAAAAAGTATTTTTTTTAGTTTATAGAAAAGAAGATAAACTGATAAAAATTCATAAAAAAAATAAAAATACTAACATATCATTAATTCGTTAAATATTTGACTGTAAATTTATAAAATAACCACATATAAACATAGTTTAATAGACTAAGTAAATAAATTGATATTTTAATGAAGAAATTTATAATTCATTAATAAAAAATTATCATTTTATCCTTTCTTTTTTCCTTGCTGACCATTATTAATGTTAACGTCTTATAAAGCTTACACATCTAGTCTCGCACGTTTCCTTTTTGAAATGCCTTTTGCTAGTCAGAATCACTTTGTTATTTATACCCACTATATTATTAGATTATTACACTCTTAATTCAAGCTCTCTAATTCGCATACTCTCATAAGCTATTGATATGAAAAGGTCCTTTTTGTCTTTGTGGGCCCCCAACCATTAAGAATTAAAAACACCCATATTTGTTGCCGGGTTACGATAAATGTTCTATAAAAATTATACTATTATTCTACTACTATGCATAAAAATATAGGATCCTTTTTTATAAATGGCAAAGAGAATTTATAATTTGTTATGGACCCTATTTTGTATGTGTAGTAATACAAAAATAATACAATTATTATTTTCATTTGTTGCGTGATGGTAGGTACGAAGAAGAAAGCAAATTATATTTAGTTATGTAGCTATTTCAAAACTATCTCTAGACGTCTTTATTGACTTGTCTAGGTTGAAGATTAAAAACATCAATTTTTGAACCCGCACACGAGTTGTTCCATTTTGCTTAGTATTAACACTATATTTTTCTCCCTAAATGTGTTGCTGGATAATTTTAAATTTTCAAGAAAAGTACGAATTTGGGGATAGATTTTTTTATTAAAACACTAGGTTAACAAAGAAAAAATGATTTTGACATCATTGACCAAACTGACATTTCCAAACTAATGGAGTAGCTTTTTCTTGGGACACATGCATTACTTTCTAGATCAAGAGCAAATTCTAAAAAAAACACTACTGTCATATTCCCCACCACACCATGAGACACAACCCCCTCACAGCTACAGTGCACGGGCCCACTTTAGATTTTTTTAAAAAATCTAAAGTGGGCCCGTGCACTGTAAATCAGATAATTCCATTAATTCTTGACATGATTTTGTTTGAATTGGAACGATATTGTGTGTATATATATACAGACATAAAAAAAAGAAAATTATTGATACTTCTACCCTACCCGCTCTCAAAATTTTATTGCAGTTATGTCTGATGTCTCATCTTTTTTGTAAATCAGATAATTCCATTAATTCTTGACATGATTTTGTTTGAATTGGAACGATATTGTGTGTATATATATACAGACATAAAAAAAAGAAAATTATTGATACTTCTACCCTACCCGCTCTCAAAATTTTATTGCAGTTATGTCTGATGTCTCATCTTTTTTGTTTTGATTTGTATTACTAAATATTCTTGGCTAAATTATTAGACACTTTCTCTTTCTTAGCGCTCTACCCAGTGGAGAACTCTGGTTGCGCTTTGGTTGGCTTTCTCTTATAGTCTATTTTCTCTGATTGATATATTTAGAAAGAAAACTATGATATTTTTTATTCACTAGCAACATTGTGGTATCAATATTTTAACATCAATTGAAATATTTTAAAACAGTAAACAATTGTCAAAGTAATTTCTTGTTATATATATAGAAAACAGTTAGATTGATATTAATACCATGATGTCACCGGCGAAAGAAAAAAAAAATCATATCATAAATATGGTATGCTAAATGTCAATTTAGTAAGTTGTCAGTTATTTTCTATTAGAGATTTTTCAATATTACACCTAAATCTTCATATTTTGAAATTAGTCTCCCAACTATTTAAATATTTTAGAATTAGTCCCTCAAATCTTCATTTTTTTGAAACTAATCCCCCAATGTGTTGGGAAGTGGGGTGTTTTGAAATTAGTCCTCAATCGTCTAACATCATGCTAAGTCGAGGGAATAATTTCAAAATATTTTAATGACATTTAGGGGATTAATTACAAAATATGGAAATTTAGGGGGACTAATTTCAAAACACTTATAACTTTTGAAGGGATTAATTTTAAAATATGAAGATTTGAGAGACTAATTACAAAACATGGGAGATAGGTAGGGCTGTCCATCCGGGCCGGCCCGGCCCGGCCCGGCCCGGCCCGGAAAACCGGGCCCGGGCCGGGCAAAACCCAAGCCCGGACCCGGGCCCGGGTGGTCCGGGCCGGGCCCGGGCCCGGGCCCGGGCCCGACCGGGCCGGACACCGGGCCGGCCCGGATTTTTTTGTTTTTTTATTTTTTTATTTTTTTAAAAATTTTAAAAAACAATAAAACATAAAAATTATATTTATATAATAGTATATATATATTTATACTCTTATATAAATATAATTATATTATATGTACATATAAGTTTATGTTTATATATATGTATAGATATATAAATATATATTTATACTCTTATATGTATTTATACTATTATATAAATATACTTATATATGTACATATAAGTTTATGTTTATATATGTGTATATATAAGTATACTTATATACTAAGAGAGAGAGAATATAAATATATATATAAGAGAGAGTATACACTGTACACATATATAAGAGAGAGCATACTTATACATATATATAATTATATAAGAGATATAAACATATATAAGAGAGAATATACTTATATTTATATATACTTATATACTAAGTAGCCCAAAGTATTCATGTCATTCAATATATGTATATGTATATATATACACACACACTGACACACATATACATATATTATACATAAACAAATTGTAAATACTTATAGTAATTACATAAACAAATTGTATTATACATAAAAACACACACACATATAAACTTATATATACACACATATATTATACATATATAAGAGAGAGTATACTTATATATACTTATACATATATTATACATATATAAGAGAGAGTATACTTATACATTATACTTATATAATATACTTAACATAGATTATATATATATTATATATATATATATATATATATATATAATATTATATATTATATATAATAATATATATATATATATATATATATATATAGTATATAAAGAGAGATATATACCTATATAATACTGTATATACTAAGAGAGAGAGCAGAGATAATATATATTATATATATTATATATATATATATATATATATATAATATTATATATATATTTATATATATATATATATATACTATATAATATATAATAATATTATATTATTATAAACAATATAAGAGAGAGTATCATTGTATACTTTATGGACTTATATATACTTTATACTTATATTAACACGGAGCATATTATACATATAGTATACTTATAATAAGAGAGAGCTTATACTATATATAATTATATTAGAGAGTAATATAATAGTATTATATATATATTACTATATATATATATATATTATATATATATATATATATATATTGAGAAAATGGAGAACTTGGTACCCAAGTGCTCAAACAACTTGCGTAGTGATGTGGCATATCTTTGTCCATAATCTATATTGGATTGGTGAGGAGTGGTTGAGGCTCTACATCTTCGAGGCTTCATGTAGGGGCCAAGATTAGGCCACATCACTACCAGTTGCTTTAAGCCCAAGCTTTGTACCAAGGTCTCTCCATATTTCTCTCTCTCTCTCTCTCTCTCATTAATATATATATTATATTATATTATCATATATCTATTATATATATATATATATAATTATATATAATATATATTATTAATAATATTATATATACATATATATATATATTGGGTTATTATTACAAAAAAACAATATAATTACATATACATATATTTTATATATAAGAAAATAAAAAAAAATTAAAAAAATTAAAAAATTTTACTGTTCCGGGCCCGGACCGGGCCCGGGCCGGGCTCGCCAACGGCGACCCGGGCCCGGGCCCGGGCCCGGGCACGACCGGGCCGGGCCCGGGCCGGACACCGGGCCGGGCCCGGGCTCCGGGCTTTTTGGACACCCCTAGAGATAGGGCCAATAATATCGAAAAGCCCTTCTAAGGGTTTGCTGATGCAATATTTGTCCTTAATCCCCATTGGACATTTTTGTAGCAAATAAACACCCATAGTCAGCTGCTTTATTGGAAAAAAGGGCGTAGGAATAACAAAGACTGCACTACCGGGTCAAATCAGAATCACAAAACGTCGCCTCCACAAAGCAAAACAACAACGAGAAGCAGCCTAATTATTTATAGCCCAAAAATCAAATCAAACACAACAAAGACGAACGTGCGACATGACCTCCTCCAGTGGCATTCTCGTAAATACAAACTAAACGTACCACCCTCAACTCTTCAAGAAATCAAATCATCGCCGAGCTCCGATGGAGTACGAGAGAATCCACAAGCCATCGAATCCTCATCAGCAGGTAATCCTACGAGCTCGATGTGTTTTCGTGTGAAATTTGATAGGATTTGGTTAGGTTTTGATTGGATTTTGTTGATGGAAGAGCAGGGCGGGGGATTCTCGCCGAGTAAACTTAGGGCGATTCTGCTTGGGATCGAGAAGAAGAGGAAGGAGGAGGAGGAGGAGGAGAAGGAGGAGGAGAAGGAGGAGACCGAATCTGGAATCTCTTTGAGATCCGATGATCGTGAGACTGAGGATAGAGGTGAGATTTCGATCCTATTTGAGGTATATTTTTCAATTTGAGAAGTCGAAAGGTTTGGAAAATATGTAAACAGTAGCAAGAAACTAGTGGAAATTTTATTTTGTTGCTGTTTTCTTCTAATATTATATAGGTTTACTGTAAATCTTGCTCGTGTACACTGTGTTGGTAAGTAGGGATGCAACAGGATAAATATATACACTTATGGATATATCTAAGTAATTATAATATCAGGATTGTTGGAATTGGGTGTAGACCAAACCCGTCAGGCGAATTCGAGCGGGTGAGGAGCTTCGTCAGGCGAGCTCGAGTAGGCGAGGACCTCCTTCAGGCGAGGAGCTCCGTCAGGCGAGCTTGAGTAGGCGAGGACCTCCTTCAGGCGAGGCCCAAGCGAGAGCGGCAGACGAGCTCGAGGTTGCAGCAGGCGAGCTCGAGGTCCAAGGCGGAGATTCAAGTGAGCTTGAGGCAACTCTGTCAGGCGAGCTTGAGCGGGCGAGGAGCTCTGTCAGGTGAGGTCGTGGCGGGCGAGCGTGGGAGAGTCAGGGCGAGCTCGAGGACTCCACACAAGTGAGCTCGAGGAACTTCCGCAGGCGAGCTGGATGCTCGTGCCCGCAGGTGAGGTCGCGCACGCATAGTGGCGACAGCCTGTCGCCAGCTTGTCGCTAGGGCTTCCCTATAAAAGGGAAACCCCGAGCACGAGATTAGGCAGCTCTTCTCTCGTTCTCTCTTACCACGGGCGGCGATTTCTCTCCCCTCTTGCGAGTTCAAACTCTAGGCGGCGGCGTGATTTCTCTCTCTGCTCTCTTTTTCCCCAACGCCTTCAGAGATTTGAAGGGGGTTTAAGAAAAAGGGAATTTAAGAGGGGAGCATTAACGAGGGTATTTAAGAAGAGCGTTATTACTGTAGCTATAGTAATGAACTTTTTATTAAGAGATCTCAAGTTTAAGATCTGCTCTTACATTGTAATTTCTTATTGATTTATAAGAAATTAATTATATGGTTCCCGAGGATGTAGACAAGTTTATCGAACCTCGTTAAATCTTGGTGTATTTTTTCTATACTACGTTTTTGCTGTTTTAGGGGTTTAACGTAGCCCCGAGTATTCCCCAACAACTGGTATCAGAGCCTAAAATATTTTAGAGAAAGTCAGATTCAAGTGGGAACGATAATCGCAGATGAAGAAAAAAATGAGATTAGAGAAGTTTGATGGAATAAATTTCGAATTCTGAAAAATACAGATAGAGGATTATATGTATCAGAAAAATTTATATCAATCACTTTCAGAGAAGAAGCCGGAGTCTATGAAGGAGGATGAGTGGAGCCTTCTAGACAGACAAGCTCTTAGAGTTATCAGATTGATACTAACTCGCAATGTTACGTTCAACATAGCAAAGGAGAAGACCACGACGGGTCTTATGGCAGCACTCTCAAATATGCATGAGAAGTCATCAGCCGCAAATAAAGTTCATCTGATGAGGCGGTTATTCAATCTGAGAATGACGGAAGACGCGTCAGTAGCACAACACCTCAATAAACTCAACACGGTCACAACCCAATTGAGTTCAGTTAAAATGGAGTTTGATGAGGAAGTTCGAGCGTTGATCCTTTTTGTCTTTCTTACCAGAAAGTTGGAACGCTACAGTCACAGCTGTGAGTTGCTCATCGGGAAGCAACAAGTTGAAGTTCGACGACGTTCATGATCTAGTTCTCAGTGAGGAGATTCGATGAAGAGAGTCGGGTGAAGCTACAACATCTTCAGTATTGCATACAGAGTCAAGAGGTAGAAATTCAACCAGAGAGAACGGACGAGGTAAATCAAACTACAGAGGTAGATCAAATGACAGGAGGTCTAAGTCAAGGAATCCAAGCAATAGTTCGAAGACTATCGAGTGTTAGAATTGTGGAAAGATCGGACATTATAAAAATCAGTGTAAGAGTGCACAGAAGGAGAAGGAGGCTAAGGCAGAGGTGAATGTCACTTCCACCTCAGGAGGAGACGACGTGTTGATATGCTCTTTGGAGAGTAAGGAGGAATCTTGGGTGTTAGATTCAAGAGCGTCGTTCTATGCTACTTCTCAGAAAGAATTATTCGAGAAGTATGTTCTCGGAAATCTTGGATATGTATACATTGGTGATGATCAACCGTGTGCTATTATGGGCAAATGTATAGTGAAAATTAAGTTGAACGGATCAACATGAGAGCTGAAGGGTGTCAGACATATTCCCGATCTGAGAAAGAACTTAATATCCGTAGGCCAGTTGGCTGACGAAGGATACACTATGACCTTTCATGGTGATGATTGGAAGATCTCAAAGGGCGTAATGATGATTGCCTAAGGTAAGAAAGACTGGTACTCTGTATATAACAGCAGGTGCATGTTGTTTGATCTCAGTTGCAGCAGATAATAAGACTTCAAAGCTGTTGCACCAGAGACTCGATCATATGAGTGAGAAGGGGATAAAAATCATGCACACAAAGAGAAAACTCTCAGGACTGCAGTCAATGAAGATAGACATGTGTGAAGAATGTATACTTAAAAAGTAGAAGAGAGTCAGCTTTCAGACAAGTGACAGAACCCCTAGGAAGAAGAAGCTAGAGCTCGTTCACTCAGATGTTTGGGGACCAACTACCACCGCGTTCATTGGTGGGGAAACACTACTTCGTTACTTTTATTGATGATCACTCTCGAAAAGTGTGGGTCTACTTTCTGAAGCATAAGTCAGAAGTATTTGAGGCTTTCAGGAGATGAAAAACCATGATCGAGAATGAGATCGGTCTGAGAATAAAAAAAACTCAAAACAGACAATGACGGTGAGTATGAAGATACTGAATTCAAGAAGTTCTGTTTTGAGCACGAGATCAGAATAGAAAGAATCGTGTCCGGCACGCCTCAGCATAATGGTGTAGCTAAGTGGATGACAGAATGTTAACAGAGAGAGCCAGAAGCATTCGGATACAATCAGGCCTACCGAAGCAGTTCTGGGCAAAAACAGTCAATACAACAGCTTACTTGATCAATCGAGGTCCATCGGTTTCATTAGAGCACAGAATACCAGAGGAGGTATGGTGCGAAAAAATGGTAAGCCTCTCACATCTTAAAGTTTTCGGTTGTGTAGCTTATGTGCATATTAGTGATCAATACAGGAATAAGCTTGAACCCAAGTCCAAGAAATGCACATTCATCGGGTATGGTGAAGATGAGTTTGGCTACCGCATTTAGGACAACGAAAACAAGAAGGTGATCAGGAGCAGAGATGTGATATTCAACGAGAAGGTGATGTACAAGGACATGCACAAGACAGATGATTCAGAGAGCGAGTCAATATTTGTAGATGCAGATGATGTCCCGAGTAACCTCTCGGAAGAACCCAATACAGAAGTTCTTTAGCCAGAAGAGCCTGTTGGACAGAACGGTATGCAGGAGCCCGACGCACCGGCTCCGATATTAAGAAAATCTTCTCGGCCTCCTGTGCCCAACAGGAGATATATGAACTATCTGTTGCTGACAGATGGAGGAGAGCCTGAAAGCTATGATGAAGCTTGTCAGAGTGAAGATGCGAACAAATGAGAGCTTGCCATGAAAGATGAGATGAAGTCTCTCATCTCAAACCAGACGTGGGAACTAGCTGAGTTGCTTACGAGTAAAAAGGTACTCCATAACAAATGGGTGTACCGGGTAAAAGAGGAGCATGATGGCTTCAAAAGATATAATGCCCGGCTAGTTGTCAAAGAATTTCAACAGAAGGAAAGAATTGACTACACCGATATTTTTTCTCCCGTGGTGAAGCTAAATACTATCAGGACAATGATGAGTATTGTAGCTATTGAAGATCATCACCTCAAGCAGTTGGACGTGAAGACGACGTTTCTTCACGGAGATCTAGAAGAGATGATATACATACACCAACTAGAAGGTTTCTCAGAAGAAAAGAAGAAGAACCTAGTGTGCAGACTCAAAAAGAGCTTGTATGACTTGAAATAAGCCCTAAGGTAGTGGTACAGAAAGTTTAACGACTTCATGCATAAGGAAGGTTTCCAGAAGTGCAACGCCGACCATTGTTGCTACTTCAAAAGATATCAATCCAGTTATATTATCCTACTGCTGTATGTTGATGATATGTTGGTTGCAGGTGTAGATATGGAGGATATCAGGAGTTTGAAGCAGCAGTTATCAAAGGAGTTTGACATGAAAGACTTGGTCCAGCAAAGAAGATCATTGGAATGCAAATCACGAGAGATAAGAAGAGAGGTCTCTTGCAGTTATCTCAGACATAGTACATCAATCGTGTTTTACAGAGGTTCAACATGGATGATGTCAAGCCAGTGAGCACACCCTTGGCTAGTCACTTTCGCCTGTCAAATAACCAGTCTCCTCAGACGGAAGAAGAGAAAGAGAGTATGACTAAGGTTCCTTAGGCCTCAGCCATTGGAAGCTTGATATACACAATGATCTGTACGACACCAGACATTGGCCATGCAATGGAAGTGGTCAACCAATTCATGTCGAATCTAGGAAAAGCTTATTGGGAAGCGGTCAAGTGGATTCTGAGATATCTACGAGGCACCACACAGAAGTGTTTATATTTTAGTAAAGGAGAGGTGGAAGTGTAAGGGTACGTAGATGCAGACTTTGGTGGTAAAGTCGATCACCGAAGAAGCATCACCGGCTATGTATTCACTGTCGGAACTACAGTTGTTAGTTGGATGTCACAGATACAAAAGATTATCACTCTGTCCACTACAGAAGCTGAGTATGTAGCAGTGACTGAAGCCAGTAAAAAGATGATATGGCTTCAGGGTTTGTTAACAGAGCTGGGATTCAAACAGGAGAGAAATATTTTGCATAGTGATAATCAGAGTGCGATTCGCTTGTCTATGAATTTCATATTTCATTCTAGAACGAAGCACATTGGGCTTCGATACCACTTCATCAGATCTCTGTTGGAAGATGGTGTGTTAAAACTGGAGAAGATTTCAGGAAGTAAGGATCCAACAGATATGTTAACAAAGGCAGTGATTATTCAGAAACTGGAATTGTGCGTAAGTTCAGTTGGCCTTCATGCATAGGTGATGAGGGCGGAGCCACACATGAGAATGTGTTTGTTGAGATAGTCTGTTGACGACGGTTTGATCTCTAAGTGGGAGATTGTCGGAATCGGGTGTAGACCAAACCTGTCAGGCGAGCTCGAGCGGGCGAGGAGCTCCGTCAGGCGAGCTCGAGCAGGCAAG